CTAAAATTAATTGTAGTACTTTAATAGTAATACCAGAATAGAAAAAAATTACATTTAATTAAAATAACCCATAGTTGGGAAGGTGCTATAATAACCTATAGTTGGGTTATGTGTTGATGTAATTTTAACTCAACTATTTTAACAGAGCATGAAATAATTAATGAGTAATAATAATAATTAATGCATCTTTGTTTTGATCTTTGAACTGTTTTAGTTTGTGTTTTAGAATTAATGAAAACGTCTGTTAAATTACTGAACAATGTCTCAGTAAATTATTTCCAGTATGTTTTTATTTTGGCAGAATAGTATCCTCTTAAGAAACATAATGCATTAATAGTGCATAATAATGCATATTGTTCAGAGGATGTAATACATATTGCATTTCTGTGAATGAAACCTCTAGTGCATTTAGGACCCTCCATTATTTCAGTTTAAAAGCCTTCGTGTGACTGTTTCCACCTTTAAAGGGGCTTATATGTAGGATTTGTTGCATATTAATACTTTTTTCATTGCCACATGAAACATTTGTGTATAATGTTCAGGATGATGCCAAATGAAAGCTATTGTTTACGTTTTATACGATAATTCAAACCAATGTCTTACATTACAGAACATATCAATCTAAACATATACAATAACTTGACTTCTAGTTGATCATTCAGTATCCAGAGTGGCTAATATGAAAGGCAAAGGCCCCTAGATTACGCTTATTTTACCAACATAAATATGATCATGCCTTGATTTTTAATTATTTAATTGGGACAGTAAGCTCTGACTTTGCTTAGTAAAAAGTTTTGTCACAACAGAAATAATGTACAGTATAGAATATAAAGTCATGGTGCAGTGGATAAAGAATTAATATTGTGCATGACTCATATGAGCTTGGAGGACTGCATCCATACATCTCTGCAATAACTCAAATAACTGACTAATAAAGTCATCTGGAATGGCAAAGAAAGCGTTCTTGCAGGAGTTCATCAAGATTCTTTGGATTCATCTTCAGTCGTCTCCTTTGTATAACAGACATGCTCAATAATGTTCATGTCTGGTGACCGGGCTGGCCAATCCTGGAGCACCTTTCTTTGCATTCAGGAGCTTTGATGTGAAGGCTGAAGTATGAGAAGGAGAGCTATCCTGCTGAAGAATTTGCGCTCTCCTATGGTTTGTAATGTAATGAGCAGCACAAATGATTGATGGCTCGGGCTGTTGATGTTGCCATCCACTCTGTAGATCTCTCGCACACCCCCATACTGAATGTAACCCCAAACCATGATTTTTTTCTTCACCAAGCTTGACTGATTTCTATAAGAATCTTGGGTCCATGCAGGTTCCAATAAGTCTTCTGCAGTATTTGTTATGATTGTGATGCAGTTTAACAGATCATTCATCAGAAAAATCGACCTTCTGACACTTTTTTGATCCACTACATGTCAAGTTATTATTCGTTGCTCTTACAACTAGGATAGACGACAAGACTTTTGTCAGTTAGTGTATATATATATATATATATATATATATATATATATATATATATATATATATATATATATATATATATATATACGTATATGTATACGTATGTGTGTGTGTGTGCGCAGATATGATTAAAGCTGTTCTTAACTTGATTTTTCTCCCTGTTATCATTTTTCATGTGTTTTTTTTAAAGGAAAGAGAGAGAGAGAGAGTGGACAGCAGCAAGATATTTAACCAAAGGGAGAACTCCTTGCTGTGAGTATATGAGGCATTGATTGGCATTACGTGTGCAAGCATGAGCAATAAGTTTCTGACTGCAGTTCACTTTATATCCGTCGCTAATAACAGTGATTGCTCAGTTCTATAGCCCCTTCAAATAAAAAGAAAATTACAGCTTTAAAGAGAGAAATGCAGTGGTTTAGAGATGCGCAATGCTCCCTTTTATCCTACACTTCGAATACAGTAAAAAATGCCATTTTTCTTTTTAATGCATTCCTGTCCCCTTTGCCCTCTCAAATCAGTTCAGTTGTAATATACTTGTCTATGGCCTTGCCAATAAAGTCCCTCTAACGTGAAGAGAATTACCCTGAATTGCACTGGCCAGAGAGAGAGAAAGAATGAGAGGCTGCCAGAGAGATGGAGAGAGACATCAGTGTCCTATTGATTTTCCAGCGAATGGTGTGATTGGCTCTTCCTGGTCATTATGGCACAGAAATAGAGAGGAATCTCACCTCGGCACTATACCTGATCAAACTCTACAGGAAGTCCTCTTCCAGGGAACACCTCCTCGTGCCTATTTGAAACCAAGGTGCGAATTTTCAACCAGAGAGTTTCCTGGTCATTCATTTATCCACTTTGAGCTCATTTTCATGCTCTCATCTGCCCACATGAGGCAATTTCACCAGCGCCATCCATCCTGCTTTGAGATTCTATCTACAATTTTGCAATTCATACGTGATTTTGGCCCATCCAGCCTTGTTCATCTACCTCTTTTCCTTCCTCTCCACAGGAAACTGGATATTAGAGAGAGAGAAGGAGAGGGAGAGAGAGAGCTCATTTTAATGCAGTGTTTGATTTTAGATGTTCAGCAAGTTATTACGCTGATAATTGAGACGCTCTGCTCATCTCATTCCCATCTCCCTGCCTCCCTCTTGCTCCTGGGCAGATGGGAAACTCGTGTGAGTGAGTGTGTGTGTGCGTTTCAGCGCTTCTGGACACTCTCACGTCGAAGAAAAAGCATTGCGCAGGTCACAGGCGAGCGCGCTCGACCGCGTGGACTGTCACAGCTCTGCGGAGGATGACGTCAGCATCTCTATTAAATGAGCAAATGGGCTCGGGCTCTGTTTCCAAACACTCGAGAAACTGAGGGACCGCACTTCGCAGACTCAGATATATAGTTGTCTAAATATATCGACGCGCAATGATGTAATGCGGGCGCTTTCTGGGAATACGCCGGAATGCGCGCAGTACAGTCTCCTGACCAGTAGATGTAACTACTGTTTCATCCGTATCTCAGTGTGATGGAGATGTCCGCGCACGAGCCGGTCTGATAACACTACAAACACACTGTATCTTTTATATTTATTTACCGCGTAAAGAGATTAATTTTCCACTGTCTAATCTGTGTCATGGTTTATTCGCTCTGTGAAATGAATAACAGTCGACGGACTGTGGGATGGTGGTGGCATTAAACAACACAAGTGTTTATGTAGTGATTTGGGGCCGGAAGTGTCCCGCCCCGACGCTCCGGTTGGCTGCTCGAGCCTCCGCCACGGTGACCGAGTCGCTGCTCTCTCGGGGTATCTGCCTCTCGTGCAGTCGTCCATGTTTAACCCCGCGCGTCCCCCGCACCGCACAGCGAGTAATCCGCGTGCAGAACTAATCCTTAAATCCTCTCGCGAGTCGCAACGCCCTCCCCTCCTCCCATGCTCTCCAGCCGGCGGGTCTCCAGAGGCCGGCGCGCGCGCGATGGGACTCAATATTCACAAGACCACACCTCGCGCCGCCACCAGCCTGCACAAGCGGGAACCTCCAGAAAAGACTGCCCTGACCTGCTCACACTTCACCCCTAAAATTCAACATGAAAATAGGATTTGTAGAGAATATGGAGAATTTTTTAGCACCACGAAAATTAAAAGTGACATTTTTCTTTTTTATTTATGCTAATAATGCTAAAATATGCTAGAATAATAGGCCTATTATTATGACATTTAAGACAAAGACTTTTTGTGATTCCCTCACCTTTCGTTAATGAAACCGGGATGTTGTATATATTTAATAAAATAGATACACAATTCAAATGTAATTAATCAATTTCCTTTTATTATAGACTTTATAATTAGCCCTAAATGTTTTGCATAAGCTGGCTGTTCATTCATTCATTCATTCATTCATTCATTCATTCATTCATTCATTCATTCATTCATTCATTCACTCAACCATTCACTAATTTATTTATTGATTCATTTATTCATTTACTAGTTCAACCTTTCATTCATTCATTCACTCACTCACTCACTCACTCACTCACTCACTCACTCACTCACTCATTTATTAATTCACTAATCCATTCATTCGCTCATTCATTCACTGTAGGATTCCACACAATTTATTCATGTTGTCTCAACAGAAATTGATTGAATTAACGCTTTTAATAAATGTATGTGGATTAAACATAAAAAATTAAGTTGTCCCAATAAAATGTCAAGAAGTGTGTTGTTTCAGCTGATTTTACTTTAGTTTGAAAAAAAATGTTTTTGAGTGTTCACTCATTCATTCAATTAGACATTAATTAATTAATTTATTCATTCACTAATTGATTCATTCACTTATTAATTCATTCACTAATTCGTTCATTTGCCATTTTCCATCAGTTAATAAATTCATTCATTCATTCGTTCACTCATTCATTTAAACATTAATTCACTATTTCATTCATACACTCATTCATTCATCCATTCATTTACTCAGTGTTCTTGGTTGTAATGTGATTTCTTTAACAGCCAACACTAGGAACACTCTGTTTCTTAGCACATATAGGCTAGTGTTTTAAAGTTACTAATTTAATGTACCATTTATGCTTGACCTATACTCAACAACACCGATTATTATATAATATTTTTATTGTTTGTAATTTTGTTATTATAAACTTTAAGTATAGCTACAAACCCTATATACTAAATATATAATACATCTGTGACCAATTAGACCATGATAACTTTAACTAGGCAAATAAATGCGTTGTATAAAGAATATAATGATTTGTATTGATTGTTTTAGTTTAATTTTTTATGATTAATGATTATTTGTTTGTTTGACTTTTTTATTCGAAGAAATAATGAGTTAAAACTCTTAATATTACAATAAAGAAGTTATATTACAATAATAGAACGAAGTTTCATGGGATTAGCCTACTGTAAAAACCGATTGTCCACTAACTTCATGCAGGATATTGTTATAAACAAAACAACAACAACAACAACAACAACAATTTATAACAACAACAACAACAACATAATAACAATAATAATAACAAAACTCTCTCAGTCAGTATGGTCTGGTCCTGTTATTCAAATGGTATGGCCAAATCGTATTAAAATCCCCACCCCTCCCCCTCCGCCCCGCGCGCCTGCCCCTTCCCTCCCTCCCTTCCTCACTTCCTCTCCCTCCCTTTCTCCGTGCTTTCAGACAGACTGTTTTGCTGCAGTGAACGGTAGCCGTGGAGAGAGGAAAAGGCAAGAAAAACAAGAAGACAGCGGAGGGCGGAACGAGAACCAAGACAGACAGATCCATTGGGACCTTAGCGTGAGCGCCAGCAGGCACAGACGCTTCCAACACTCCTGAACCGACGGAGCCATCGGGCATCACGAGGAGCGCTTATATCGGTGAGTATCGTAATCTGCCCTCCTTTTGAGCTCACAGACACGCAGGGGCATTATTGTCGTTGGCGTCCCGGCGCTTATACGGAATGGGTGGGGGGGTGGGGGGGGACACCTGTCAGGTTTGTAAATAGGGACACGCTCGTGCTCTGGAATGCGCCTGCATCCGCGCGCGCGCCAGGCGCACCGGGAACAAATCCGCGAGCTCGGAGGTGTAAAACTATGAGCGCTGATGGTAAAGTGTGCTTAGGCTACTGTTAATGCGCTGGTGCTCGCTTTGCCCCTCGCGTTTCCCCTCCCCTCCTTCCACTAGCATCCCTGCCGCTCCTTCTGCATTCAGCGCGCTCGGACTGTGTGCACCTGCTACTGTTTTCCGTGGTTCGGTGGGGCGTCCCGGTTGGGACTGGTACTCATAGGGAGTGAGGGATGGAAATAAAGAGAAGTGCAAGAGAAGAGCCGATGATGAGTGAGGGATGCTGCTGGCTCCGTCTCAGGTTGCGTGTTATTGAATTGCAGCAGGTATCATCACCTCATCCCATCGGTTTGAGATGAGGCGAGGCTTCACTGCTCCATACACACACGCGCACACATTCAGTTTGACAGCCCTCTTCTATAGTTGCACAACATTACAGAGCATCTCTCGGCGATCGGCCGCCCGCCCCGCAGGCAACGCCATGACTTGCACAGTTCACAAAGCGCACTAACAGAGAGGAATGGGCGACCTGGAGTATTGTGTGTGTGTGTTAGTGTGTGTGTGCGCGCGCGTCCACGGTCGCGCTGTATCCTCAACGGGCGACAGGTGCACCTTCCCCTCGCGCGCGCAGCAGTCAGAGCGGGAGAATAATGAGAGCCGTGTTAAAGGCTACCGGGAGGCAGAACTCTACAAATCTCTATTCCTGTCAGGCTCCGCGCTCGCTTTTACGTATCATTTGTCGGTTCGGACTGGTTTTCTGGGTTACCGAGTGACGACAGGAATGTTTTCGATCACTGCGTCACATCATACACACATACACACTGAGTGACACGAGACGATCAATGGAAACACTGGGGCAGCGCGTGAGTGAAGTGTGTGTGTGTTCAGCATCTATGCGACCAATCGGCGCTCTCCGTCTGTTAATGAGTGTGTGTGTGTGTGTCCTTTCTTACAGTCAGCGCTTCAGTGAGCTTCTCCACTTCTCCGGGCCTCAAGAGGACTATTGGCTGTAGCGTGCTGGACGGATGAGCGGGATGCGCGCGCGTCAGACTCTGGCATTCCCGTCATTCCAGCGGGCAGCTCTCCGGGCGCTCGCGGCCTTCACGATGATTCTCGCGACCTCCGTGCGGAGCAACTACGTTTATGGTAAGAAACCCCCACCGTTCTGCTCTCCGTCCGCTCCTCCCTCATGTTTTCGCTGTTTTCTGTTTTTACAAGGGAATCACAGAGCCGTTAATAAGCTCGTGGGGCACAGAGGAGCCTCCCCCTCATCTCAGATCCAACGGAATTTTCTGCTGTGTTGTTATTTTTTGAATAAGGCTATACCTGTCTCTATCTATCTATCTATCTATCTATCTATCTATCTATCTATCTATCTATCTATCTATCTATCTATCTATCTATCTATCTATCTATCTATCTATCTATCTATCTATCTATCTATCTATCTATCTATCTATCTATCTATCTATCTAATCTCTTAAAAGAAACAAGTTGAATTAAAAATCAGAATAAATTAAGTTGAACTTGAGTTATACTTACATTGTAGATTTCTAGTTCCCAGCATGTGGTGTCAGACTGTAATAAGAAAATAATAATGTAAACATTTAAGTGATCAATATTAACATAAGGAGACGTTAGTTAGTCTTTAAGTTTGCTATGTTGGGGTTTACAAAGGTTTCTGTAAAAAAAAATTGTTAAGCTCTACTAAGTCATTACAACACATTTGTCTCAATACAAACCGAATAACTTCATTGCTTTTACAAATTTAAGTAAATTTAACATAAAACAATTAAGTTGTTCCCAAAAATCTCAAGATTTGTGATGTTTCAGCTCATTTTAAATGAGTTGTTTGAACAAGCAGCAGAACTTTTTTTTGAAGGAAGGAATGCTTTTAATAAACACAAAAAAACTAACAAATTGGATGAACTCAATTTAATTAAGGGCAGGATTTCCATCCTATAAATTTGTTTAGCACGAAAAAACTATTTGCACAATTAAATGCAATTGAGTTGGTCCAACATGATTTTATTAAACAAAAGTTTAAATACATTTGTATTTGATTTAACTTCTACTCAAAGGTCTGATAATATCATGTATGTCTATTATGTGCCGTACATTTCGTAGTGTCTAAGTTTTATCCTAAATGTTATCCTAAATGAACAAAAAGAGCAATTTTTAAGCGTGTTTTGATGAGTTATACAGTCGATTGAGACTGATCTCAGAACTAATTTAAGGACAGTTATTGCTCACTGATCAAAAGCAACAAAGACTGCATTTTTGCTAATTAAGCTGCCAACACCCAAATAATAGATGCTTCTGCAAGGTAGTACTCTCAAAACTTAAAGCATTACATATAAATCTTCTAAATCTTCAAACTAAATATTTCTATTAACTTTAAACACCTAAGATTACTTTTATTGTCAACATTTCCCTCTCTTAATTTAATACCACGCAAAGCATGCTGGGAATTACAAATGACCAGGTAGTTGTACCAACACAATTCCTTCATGTTGTCTCAACACAAAACATTTAAATTAATGGTTTACAAATTTAAGTGAAATGAACGTAAAACAAATGAATTGGCTAAAAAAACAACAATAATTGTGTTGTTTCAGCTCATTTTAAATGGGTACAAGCAGCAGTAATCAGTTCTTTGAGTGTATTCATAAGAAAGACTTAAAACAAAAAAAGTTATGGTTACTGAATTAAGGAAATGAGTTTGCATGATTGAGTTAAGCAAATTTCTGTGTGGAGTGTGCATGTTCTCCCTGTATTTGCATGGGTTTCCCCCACAATTCAAAGACATGCGCTATAGGTGAATTGGATGAACTAAATTGGTTGTGAATGTGAGAGTGTATGGGTTTTTCCCAATACCGGGTTGCGGCTGAAAGGGCATCCACTGTGTAAAACCTATGTTAGCAGTGTCAACCCCTGATGATTATGGCAGTAAGCTGTAGGAGAATGAATGAATGAATGAATGAATGAATGAATGAATGAATGATCTAATGTTGAAGGATTACTTATAGCAAACAGATGAGTGGAGAACATAGCTGCTCTCATTGTTCTACAACGCGCACCTCATATTGAGTTAAGATCAGTCCATTCTCAAGCACATGTTCACACATTACACAATCAGAGTTGCACTGAATGAGCCTTCTGGCTTGTGTAGGTGTGGGGCTGCTACATTGCTTCTCTATTGAGTTTAGGACTGAACATCATCGTTTTTTCATGTCAAATCTTTTTATAAAATGCTTTTTGTCATGAAGTCTGAATTTGTTTGCCATGTTCAGGTTTTGTTTTAAATGTCTGATTGGTCATGGCTATTTCAGCAGACTGATGAGTGGAGATCATAACTGCTTTTAATTGTTAGTGGAAGTGTAATTGCTCCTTCACAAGTGTATGTTACACAATGGCAGTGAGTTGGACTGAATCAGTCTGCTGGTTTGTGTAGGTGTATTGTTATTCTCCGGAGTACACGCTGAACAGATCTTTATCAAATGTCCAAAATGAAATGTGGTTGATTAGTCATGAATGATGATTGTGTGATTGTGTTTTCTTTTCATTGTACAGAGTTAACTGAAGATTTGTGTTAAAATCAGAGAGATGGTGTCAGTGACTTTGCAGATCTATCTATCTATCTATCTATCTATCTATCTATCTATCTATCTATCTATCTATCTATCTATCTATCTATCTATCTGTCTATCTGTCTATCTGTCTATCATCTTAGCAGTGACTTTATTATGAGTCTTTCTTTCTTTCTTTCTTTCTTTCTTTCTTTCTTTCTTTCTTTCTCACATTTTAATATTCTTTCTTTCTTTCTTTCTTTCTTTCTTTCTTTCTTTCTTTCTTTCTTTCTTTCTTGCTCACATTTTAAGATTCTTTCTTTCTTTCTTTCTTTCTTTCTTTCTTTCTTTCTTTCTTTCTTTCTTTCTTTCTCACATTTTAATATTCTTTCTTTCTTTCTTTTTCACATTTTAATATTCTTTCTTTCTTTCTCACATTTTAATTTTCTTTCTTTCTTTCTTTCTTTCTTTCTTTCTTTCTTTCTTTCTTTCTTTCTTTCTTTCTCACATTTTAATATTCTTTCTTTCTTTCTTTCTTTCTTTCTTTCTTTCTCACATTTTAATATTCTTTCTTTCTTTCTTTCTTTCTTTCTTTCTTTCTTTCTTTCTTTCTTTCTTTCTTTATCACATTTTAATATTCTTTCTTTCTTTCTTTATCACATTTTAATATTCTTTCATTCTTTCTTTCTCACATTTTAATATTCTTTCTTTCTTTCTCACATTTAAATATTCTTTCTTTCTTTCTTTCTTTCTTTCTTTCAAGAGTTCACACTTAGCTGATAATCAATAAAGCGTATTTGGCATGCTGTCCCGGGAGAGAGCCCTGAGCTCGTAATATCCTCGAGCCCGGGGCTCCCTCCCATTAGAAGGGCGAGAGGGGAATTCGAGGTCAGGTAGGTCTCGAGAACTCCCCTGCTTGTCACCGTGAGACGTGTAAACTCAGGTTGTATTGGGTGATAATTTGTTTTAGTCGATTGGCTATGGTTTATGTTTTTGGACGGTGGGAGGAAACCGGGGAACCCGGGGAAAACCCACGCGAACACGGGGAGAACATGCAAACTCCACACAGAAACACCAACCAGCCCGATGGGTTGGACTAGCGGTGTTCTTGCTGTGAGGCAACAGTGCTAGCCACTGGGCCACCGTGTCGCCCGATCAGAAAAAGTGGGAGGATGTAGGGGTGGAAGGGGGGGAGCTTCAAGTCAAAGATAACTGGAGTGGAAAACTCAGGTTATTTATAATGCTTCCGTAATCATCTAATAGGGCTGATTACGGAGCTAACAAGGAGCCAGCCGTGTTGATTATAAGCACGTGATCCTCTCGAAATTAGTTTATGAATAAACCACACTTCAAGAGTTCACACTTAGCTGATAATCAATAAAGCGTATTTGGCATGCTGTCCCGGGAGAGAGCCCTGAGCTCGTAATATCCTCGAGCCCGGGGCTCCCTCCCATTAGAAGGGCGAGAGGGGAATTCGAGGTCAGGTAGGTCTCGAGAACTCCCCAAAAGGCAAAGGTTTTCATCTCGGGACAGCAGCCGCGTATTGAAGTGCCCCCCAAAAGGCGAGAGGTCAGTGCCATATCCGGCTGCTGAATGTAAATTGAAGTGAGATAGGTTACTGCAGGAGAAAAGTTGAAACTGATTCTTAGGAGAGGCTGGGGACTCTGTTGGAGTTGGGTTCGGGGAGGCAGGGTTGGGAGCCTAACGGAAGAAAGGAGAGTAGCAGAGGGATTTGGAGCTAGAAATAGGAAAGTAGCGGAGTAACTCAACGCTGAAAGAAGAAAAGTAGCGGAGGAACTCAACGCTGGGAAAGGGGAATGTAGTGGGTAGGGGAAAGGGGTTGTAGAGGGGGTGGAGAGAAGAGCGGAAGCATTCGACGCTGGAAGGAAGTAAAGAGGATGCGGAGGAACTCAACGCTGGGAAGAAGAGAGCATGAGATGCGGAGGAACTCGACGCTGGAAAGGTAAAGAATAGAAACCTATGGGGATCAGAGCTCTAGGTCAACTCCGTGGGAGTTAGAGCTGTAGGATTGGACTACTACAGGAGTCTGGGAAGGGAGGGAGAGGTGGAGACTCCTGTAGGTGGTGGGCTGAGCAGGACTCCGGGGGAGTCAGAACGTGGGAAGACTCCTTGGGAGTCAGATTGGTGAGTGATGTTTTTGAAATATAGAAAGAGTAGCGGAGGAACTCAATGCTGAAAATAGTAAAGTAGCGGAGAAACTCAACGCTGAAGAAAGAAAGTAGCGGAGAAACTCAACGCTGAAAGGGGGATTGGGAGTTAAAGGTGGGGAGAGGAGAGAAGTTGTAAGAGGGGGGAGAGGAAAGAGCGGAAGCATTCGACGCTGGAAGGAAGAGAAAGAGATGCGGAGGAACTCAACGCTAGGGAATATAGGACAGGAGATGCGGAGGAACTCAACGCTAGAAGGTAGGAAAGATGCGTATTTGGCCGGGGCGAGAGAGAGAGAGGGGAGGGGGGACTCCGTGGGAGTCTTAGCTCTTGAGGTAACTCCGTGGGAGTTAGAGCTGAAAGATTAGGCTCCTACAGGAGTCTAAATGGGGAGGGGGTGGTGGAGACTCC